ATCTAGTATCATCCGCAATTCTAGAATTTTTACTAAAAAAATTTTTTTTCATTGAAAGGATTTGTAAGGAATGAGGCAGATCTACAGGTACTAACATGGGTAAAGCCCCAATAAATAAGAGAAAAAAAGCAAGTCGCAGAACAATATGCATATAAAAGATGCATCACATATTAAAATATTATGTACACAGGAGACAGGAAAAAGCCCAGAAGAATATATGTCCATTTCAAAACACTGAGCACCAGTGGGGAGGGAGGAGGGAACCCAGATTTTTTTGGGGGGGAGAGGTGTTAAAAGGGCCTAAGCTTGCCACAACTAGAAGGACCCACAACTAAAAAAATATACAACTATGTACTGGGGGAGCTTTGGGGAGAAAAAAGAAAAATAAAATCTTAAAAAAAAAAAGGGCCTAAGCCTTATTTATGACATTTGATATTTTAAAAGGAGAATGTGCTCATGTATTATTTCCATAATCAAAATGTAACCAAAAAAAAGGAATGTTTTGTGAATATAAAAACTGAGTAACTTCTAAGGGATACTGGATCGGCTTGGAGCCTCCTGTATCCCTCCTGGAAGGTGGCTCTCGCATTCCCCAAGCAACGCTGCTTACCTCTCCCTCGCTTTTCTACCTGATCCCACATCCACCCCTCAGCTGCCCATGATAACTCTTATATTTCTTTAAGAAAACAGAAACTATCAGAGGGAAATTCCCTCATCTTCTCACCTACAAAACTGATTGCTTTTTTTTTCCTTCTTCTTCTCCCCAAATCCCCCCAGTACAGAGCTGTATATTCTAGCTGTGAGTGTCTCTGGTTGTGGATGTGGGATGCCGCCCCAGCGCGGCCTGATGAGCAGTGCCATGTCCGCGGACAGGATCCGAACCAGTGAAACCCTGGGCCGGTGAGGCGTAGCGCGCCAACTTGGCCACGGGGCCGGCCCCCAAAACTGACTGCTTTTGTGCCCCTTTTCTCCTTCCCTCCTGTTTCAGGGATGAAACGTCCCTTCTCTTAGAAGAATTTGACGCTTTCTCTCATCATTAAAAAGAATGAATGTGGACTTCCACACTGTAGTGATATTCCTTCTACCACTGTAGCTGCTCCTAAATCTCTTTTGCCCTCTTTTTCTCTACCCGACCGTTAAATGTTGAGGTTTGTAAGAGTTCTACACTGAGCCCCTTCTCTTCTTTCTCTGCACTCTCTCCTTAGGCCACTTCATCCATTCCCATTGTTTTAGAAAGGTTGAAAACTCCCAGATAGAAATCTCCAGCCCAGACCCCACAGGACTACAGTTTCATAGGCCCAACTGCTTCCTACACATTTCTACTTGGTCCTTTCATAACATCTCAAATTTACCATGTTCAAAACTGAAACTTTGATTCCCAGCCAGCCTCTATACCTATTCCTCCTCAAGTCATCTCCAATTCAGTAAACGGCATTACTGTCCGTGCAGCTAGTTTCTACTTTCCAGAAACCTGGGAACGAGCATTCTCGATTTCTTCCTCTTCCTTGGCCTTCACATCCAATCGAACAGTAAGTCCTATCCATTCTAGAGAAATCTGTCCCCTTCTTGCCATCTCCCCGGACCCTAGGTCCAAGCCACTGCCTCCGGCACCTGAATTACTGCAATAGCCTCCTAATCAACCTCCTTACTTCTGCTTTGTCAAACTCTCCAATCACTCTCCACAAAGCCATCAGAGTCATCTTTTAAAAATCTAAATAAGGGGGCCGGCCTGGGGTGGTGCAGCAGTTAATTTTGCACGTTCCACTTCTTGGCAGCCCGGGGTTCACTGGTTCGGATCCTGGGTGCGGACACGGCACCGCTTGGGAAAAGCCATGCTGTGGTAGGTGTCCCACGTATAAAGTAGAGGAAGATGGGCATGGATGTTAGCTCAGGGCCAGTCTTCCTCAGCAAAAACAGTAGTTAGCTCAGGACTGATCTTCCTCAAAAAAAAAAAAATCTAAATAGGGGGCTGGCCCCATGGCTGAGTGGTTAGGTTCATGCACTCTGCTTCGGTGGACTCGGGTTTCACCAGTTCAGATCCTGGGCGCGGACCTGGCACTGCTCATCAGGCCATGCTGAGGTGGCGTCCTACATAGCAGAGCCCGAGCACCTACAGCTAGAATATTCAACTATGTGTTGGGGGGCATTGGGGAGAGGAAGAAAAAGAAAAAAGGTTGGCAACAGATGTTAGCTCAGGTGCCAATCTTAAAAACAGAAAAAAAAAATCTAAATAGGAATATGTCCTATCTCTTAAAAGCCTTCAAGGACCTCCCACTGCACCTATAATAAACACTTAACTCCTTACCTTGGTCTATAAGGCCCTGAATGATCAGGCCCTGCTCACCTCTCCAATCTCATCCCTTCCCCTCTTTCCCTCTCTCTTTTCCAGTCCTGCTGGCTTTCTTTTAGATACTTAATCACACAAACCTCTTTCTCTTCCTATCCTAGGGCCTCTGCGTATGCTGTTCCCTCTGCCTGGAATGCTTTTCCCCCCTCAACTCTTCAAATGGCTGCTTTCTCATCTATCAGGCATCGACTTAAATGTTAACTCATTTAAGTAGGTTCCCTCCAACTCCCTTTTTTAATCATAGTAGCCTGTTCATTTCTTTCCCAACATTTCCTATCTTATAATTACATGACTGTTGATTTTTTATTGTCTACCCTCCCACCAGACTGGAAGCTCTGTGACAACTTGAACAATGTCGGCTTAATTCACAGTGACAAGCACCTACTAAACGCTAAAAATTCGCTGAAAAAGAGAAGGCCACCCCATCAGTCAGTGAAATTTTAACTGTGAATTATAGAATATTTCTTTGCCCATGTCATCATCAATCACACACCAAAGCCTATGAGCTGATACCCTCAGCTGAGGCTAGATTCAAGGAACATGCCTCAGGGCCCAATATGGGCACAGAGTCCTACAACGGGTGTGTGGAGGGGGTGGGCTTTGGTGAACCAAAGGACTGAAAGGGGCCTGTGACAGCTGGTTCTCTAATCAATCTTGTGTAGTGGGTACAGTATCTGAGTTTACTACATTTTACAGACGACAAAGTTGAGACAAATTAACCTTTAAAAATCAAGGTAGAGGGGCCGGCCCCGTGGCCAAATAGTTAAGTTCGCGTACTCTGCTTCCACGGCGCAGGGTTTCCCAGGTTCGAATCCTGGCTGCAGACATGGCACCGCTCATCAAGCCATGCTGAGGTGGCATCCCACATGCCACAACTAGAAGGACCCACAACTAAAATACACAACTATGTACTGGGGAGCTTTGGGAGAAAAAGGAAAAATAAAATCTTTAAAAAAAAAAAAAAGAAAAACATCAAGGTAGAGACCCAAGCCAAACGGTGAAGGCGGCCAAGCTTGGCTCCTGCACTGTCTTTCCTGTGCATCTTCCTCCAGCCCCAGTGTCCTCTGGCTATCAGGCCTACTGCGGCAGCTTATCCAGGTTTTGCTTCTGGATCCTTCAAGTGTGGTGGTCTCAGGACACTGCCAAACTCATAAGACTCAGCTTCCTTTATTTCGGGGGAGAGAGGGTGGTAGGATCCTGTCCCTCTGAAACCAGCTCATTACATAACTAGTCTCTCCTAAGGTAATGTTTCTAATACACATTTGCAGTTTAACAGGGCACTCTATACACGCAGCTACAGAAATGACTGACTCCTCTACCACAGCAAGCCAAAACAGAATTTAATCTTCGGGCGAGTTGTTCAAACAAAAGTTCCATTGGCAGTTATTATTATTACTAATTTATACAAACTGATCTTTAGATATGACACACATTCTGTCACTTGGTTCTCATAACATCCCAGTGAGACAAGAAAGAGAGACAATTATTATAGTTCTTTTACAGATAGGGAAACTGAGATTGAAGGAAGTTATATCTTACTATCATCAGGCAAATGGCAGAGAATGGATCCTAATCCAGGACTCCAAATCCTTTTCCTCCCATCAAATTTTTTTCCTCCATCACTCTGCCTCCTGTGATGGCTCCTGAAACCTGTGTTGAAGGGAAACTTTATCATGAACGAAACAGGTCCTAGGACTCCGAGCCTGGTTCATGTTGAGGGTCTCACCCTGCCTTACTCTAAATAACCTCAAGCAGTTATGTCTATTGCTGAAATATTGACCATAAGAGGTGCTGCTACAGATTTTCTCATTAACAGTTTTAGTGCAGATTAAAGAGATTCGAAGTCCAAAATATCTAGTGATTTCTATTAGCTCCAGACCATAATGTTTTGTACTGAGAAGCTTTGGACAAATAGTATTAAGAATCTTTAATTGCAGGTTAGGAGTTTTATATCTGCAGATTGCTAGTCAAAACTCAAGGTTCCCATCGTTTAAGTGAATGGAGCAGATGGCAGATTTGGCTCTCTACGTGGCAGACAGGTGTTCACGACACATTTGACACTGAAAATTGATCAGTGAAAAGGCTGTCTCACCCTACCCTGAAGCGACCTTTGGGAAACATTGGAAACTCAGTAATTTGCTTTTCTGGATGCTTAACTATATCTATGTCTGATCTACCCACTGAACTCTTGACGGTATAAACACTGCCTCTCATGTATTGTGTTAAGATGCACTAATAAGCAAGACCTTAGGTGACGACAAAACACAGCTGACAGCACGGCTGATACGCTTTATTTTTGTGGGTTATCCACTATAGGGTAGATCAGGTTTCCTCAAGTTAAAAAGAAAAGGAAATATCTATTCCAACAGATGTTAGAGCATAAGGAGTAAAGATCTGTACTTTGCACTCCAGAAATAAAGCAAATGCTGAGAAAGTTTTCAACTGTCTCTTTGGTGAAAATTAAAAGCCTTTTCAAAGCCTCGGTTTTGAGCATTTTCCGTGGGGGCAGAGAGAAGGTAGTGGGCCAGCATTACCGGGTGGGGAGGATCTGGACAGGGCGCCCCGTGTCCCAGCCCGATCCTCAGCCCCGCGCGGACGCGGACCGGCCCTCAGCCGGCGCCCAGCCCCAGCCCACGTCCCGCCCCTGTATTACCGGCGCCCGCGCCGGCCGCACCGCCTCTTCCTCCTCTTCCTCTTCCTCTCCCTCCTCCTCCAAGGCCGCCGCCGCCGCCGCCAGGGCCTCTGAGGGGTCTTGGCGTTCGTATTGGGCGACCCGCGCTCCGGTGTTGCGATTTACCCCGCGTTCCGGGGTTTGGAAACTTGAGGCCAGCAGCTTTCCCGGTCGGTGCGAGGCGGCCATCACCTCGCCGCCCAGGCCTGAGCGCCCGCGCTGGCCCGGGGAGGGGAAGCTGGCGCGGCCTCAGGCGACCCGGCGGCTCCTTGCTTGGGGCGGGCGGTTACTAGGGGCGCGGTAACTAGGAACGCTACAGGGGCCGCCGGGGGCCAAAAGTCACTCAAAATCCTCGCACGCTGCCGTAGACCTAAGACGGGCGCCACCTGGATAACAGGAGTCATTATCCTATCCTGAGTCTTTGTCGGTTTAGAGGGTTGGCTGGCACCTCTTCCCCGGTTTCGCGCCTCACCGCCTAAACGTAGACTTCTCACATTAAACACCTCGTTTTGTGCAAAAAACAGTGCATGAAATAACACGCTACGAGGACATGGCGGCGGCAGGAGAAAGCAGGGTATGCTACTGTATGGCGGGGACGTCAGAACAGTGGCAAGGTTTACATCCTGCTACCTAACATGGTTCCCTCGGGAGCGGGAGAATGGGAAAGAGCGAGGTACGTTTTACTCTGATTGACTTGAGAGCTGGCAGAAATCGACCAATCCGAAGGAGGCTGCTAGTTATCCTACTCGTGTTTTTCTTGGCCTGACCAATAAAAGCCAGCGTTGGGTGGCTCCTGGACCACCCACCAGTGAGTGACGGTGCAGGTGTGTGAACTGGGCGGTTGCTTGCTTGGATTCATCAGCTTTATAGTGGTAGAGTTGGAGGGTGTGAGCGCTCACCAGTAACCACAGACACACTCCATCTCCACCTCACCCCATCAGCATTGCCCATTCGGGATTTGGGTGCTTCAAATGGTGCCCTGCCCCTACCCCGCGTGGCTGTAGGAGAGGCCTAGCCTTAAAAGAGCAGGCGGGATGTAGTCTCAGCCACCTGCTACCTAAGCTGCTTCTTGCTGAAGCTGAGGCTGCCGCAACCTCCCCTCCCTATTCTTTAGCCTCCTCCTGCCCCTGGCCCTCGTCACCATAAAGTTAGGCTATGCAGCATGCGTGCGCTGCCCGGAACCCATCTCTGAGGTTTCAGCCTTTCTTGTTTCCAAGCCTTTCTTGTTCGCCGATCTGGAGTGTTAACACCTGCAAAATCCCCTACTCCCCCACTTCCTTCAGGCTTCTCTTTGTTTTTGCTGAGATTTGCTTTGCACACTGAAACAGATGCTGGCTGGATTCTGAGCAGAAGCTGGAGTTGGAAGCCCATGAGGTATGGATGTCCCAAGTGACCAGAGTAGGGACTTCCAGTCATTCATATGCAGCTGGTTCTGCGGCTGCATGTGCCCCTCTTGGGATTAGGTATAAACCTGACCCCAAACAGCAAGACAGGTCTACATGCTGAAGCACTGACAATGGAAGATTAGGCAAGAATAGAATAGAAGGAATGAGTGTGGAGGACACAGTGTGTGTGTGTGTGTGTGTGTGTGTGTGTGTTTGTGTAGAAGAGCAGAAAAGTTTCCATTCGCCAGCAATATTCCAAATTCACCAGCAATATTATAAATTTGCAGATATCTAATGACATAGCCTCAAAGTATATAGAACAGAAATGGACAGATCTACAAGAAGAAAATGACACGACTTACATCATTATAGGAAAAATTGTTTTTGCACTTTTTTTTTTTTGCTGAGGAAGATTTGCCCTGAGCCTACATCTGCTGTGAGTCTTCCTCCTTTTTTTCTCGAGGAAGACTAGCCCTGAGCTAACATCTCTGCCAATCACCATCTATTTTATATGTGGGTCGCCACCACAGCATGGCTGATGAGTGGTGTAGGTTGAGACCTGGGATGTGAACGTGTGAACCCCAGGCTGCCAAGCAGAGCACGCCAAACTTAACCACTACACCAGGGGACTGGCCCCTGTTTTTGCACTTGTGAATTGAGATGGAATATATACACTGAAATGAATAGATCTTAAATGTATAGATAGATGAATTTTGACAAATGCATACACTCATAAAATCATACCCCTATTAAGATATAGAATATTTCCTTCATCCCAGAAAGACCCCTTGTGCCCCTTCCCAGTTGGTTGCCCATTCCATCCCCTTGACTATTCTAGAACTTCATATAAATGGAATCATACAGTATGTACACTTTTTGCTCTCAGCTATTTTTTTGCTCAGTATACTGTTTTTTTTTTTTTTTAAAGATTGGCCCTGAACTAACATCTATTGCCAATCTTTTTTCCTCTTCTTCTTCTCCCCAAAGCCACCAGTGCATAGTTGTATATTCTAGTTGTAGGTCCTTCTAGTTCTGCTATGTGTGGCACTGCCTCAGCATGGCCTGATGAGCGGTGTTGGTTGGTGCCCAGGATCCAAACCGGAGATGGCCCAGGCCGCCAAAGCAGAGCGCCCGAACTTAACCACTCACCCATGGCTGGCCCCTATTTTTTTTTTTTTTTTGAGATTCATCCATGGTGTTGTATATATGAGTAGTCTGTTCCTTGTTAATTGCTGAATAGCATTCTTTGCTTAAAGAGATAATAATTTTCCAATACTAGAAGAATTTTCCTTTTTGTGCTATCCATAATGTAAAGATGAGGCATACTCTTAAATTTAATCTGCACTATTAGCATTGTCTTTATCAGTATCTTAAGTTTACCCATTCATCTATTGATGGTCATTTGGGTTGTTTCCATTTTTTTGGCTGTCAGTTTAGGTCTTTCAGGAAGCAGACACCAAGAAGGAATTAGAGGTGCAAGAGATTTATTGGGGGAAATTCCTGTGAAAGATAGAGAGGAACAGGAATGTCTTCAGGCCAACATACAGTCTGACACCCTAGAAAGGAGAGAAGGAAGGGAGACTATTGTGCAGGAGGAGGTTGAAACTGCAGTGCAGCTCTGAGAAAGTCTCAGCTAGCAAAAAAGAGCTCCAGCACTAAGATTGCTCATAGAGTTCCGCAAGGGGCAGAAATGGCTCAACCCTCCCAGCCCTGCCACCTCGATCACTGGCTGGAGCTCCCCGGGAAGAGCCTGTCCTCAGATGCAACACTGGAAAATCCTGAGGTGCTGTGGCTGCAGACTGTCAGCCAGTGGTATGCTGGTAAGTGGTTACTGACAGACTCTCCGGGAGAAAGTGTGTGTGTGTGTGATTACGCACACTTATTATAACTTTTAGTGATATAAAGGCTTGTAGCATACAATTTATAAATAACAAAATATACTATACTCTTTACTGTAACTTCCTCATAAATAATTGATTCTCCCAGAATATTTTCATTAGTTTTTGCTGAACTCTTATATCTGAAGCCAGCCTGTGTAATTAACAGTGTAATTCCAACATGAATATTGTTTGATATTTTTGCATATATTAATGGGTAAGATGAAAGTGAAATAACCAAGATGTATGTCAGAATTTCACTTGTTTTTCAATGTTGTGAGCAACTTCTTTGCTAGAATAAATACTTTTCTAATGCTGGAAGAATTCTCCTTAATTTTTTGTGCTATTCACAATGTAATGGCTACAGGCACCACACAATTTTGTTTTTTCTGCATTATTAACATTTTCCCCATGACTTTAAGTTTAAAAGTCCAATTTGTAGCATTTGCTGATTTCCATCTTGTCAATCCCCCCACCAAGGCCAATTTCAGGCTACCCATGTGACATCACTGAATATGAACTTGGGGGAAGATGTTCAGTAGCACACCATAATATAGTTTTTCCACTATACAGATGCAGTAGATGCAAATGACCTCAGGAGCATATAAATATATGTAAAATGTAGTAACAGAAACGGAAGTGAAGAGTTTTGAGAAATTATCTTTGTTTTGAACATTATTTAATTGTAATTTAGCAAAACTAATTTTTAATAATGACGTATTTAACAACCAGTTTGCAAATATCCTGAAAATTTTACAATCATATCTCTCAAGTCAGTACCAGCAGGCTCTATCACATTGCTATATTGATTGACTACACTCCTCACAGCAGATCCTGTCTTTAAGGGACATCTAAGAAGCTCAGGTCTGTGGCTGCCACATCTGCCATATATGTAAATAAAGCAGCTATGAACAGTCCTGTGTAAATCTTTGATACATTTGTGTACATATCAAGGGGTATAGAAGATTTGAACAGCACAATTAACCATTAGGTAATATATGCCTATTAGATGATACACAGCTAACATATATATATGTATTTTATATATATGTATATATATGTAAACAGTTGGAGAGTATACATTATTTTAGGAACACATGGAACATTATAAAAGGTAACCATAGTACTAAACCATAAAGCTAGTCTTAACATATTTGAAAGGATTAAAATCATACAATCAACATTCTCTGATCACTTAATGCAATTAAGTTAGAGAATAATAAAAGAAGAACTAGAAAAGCCTTTTCAGTTTGGAAACTTTAAAATACTTCCAAAAAACAATTCATAGGTTACAGAAGAACTCAAGCCAGAAATTATAAAATATATAGAATAAGTATATATATTTAAATTACATATGAAATTAATATATTTATAATATTAAGTTGCTTAGAAACACTTAAAATATACATTAAATTAATATAAATTATATATTTTATTTATATATTAATATAGTATGACAATATATATTATATAATCATATATTAAGTTGTATAACTTAATATATTTAATAATATATATTTCAAGTGATTTTAAAGCCACTAAGTTTCAGAGTAGTTTTTTTAATGCAGAAGTAGGTAATTTCAACACCTGATTGTCAGTATAGCTGCCAGAATGCATCAGACGATTCTGATGTGTTACAGGTTGGAGAACCAAGGCTCTAATTCTTCTCTAGGATACCTGTCTACTCAGTTCCATTTGCTCTCTTGTCCTCTTGCTCCCTGCTGCAGTAGCAGAGTCTGCATCTCTTGTGCTAAAGCAACACTGACTATACCCACGGAGCCTCTGGCTCCTTATACCACTTCCAGACTCTGAGAAAGCACTGAACCAGTGGCCCAAGATCTGGCTTCCCCAGCATCTGACTGGAGGCACTGGGCAAGGATCAACACCTTGGAACAAGCTTTGACCAATGAGAGAGATGGGAAACTGGCAAATTAATTTCTTTCCCTTCCTTTACCTGATGACTCTTTTAAGGCACAGTGACTCTATGGCAGCTGTCTGGACAAGTCTTTCACGAACAAGAAACTGAACTTAATTTTCTTTAAAG